TGCTAAACATGCAGTTTAGCACAGGCCTATACCCTACACCCCCATCCTAGCTACCTTTTTAAGAACAAACCTGTTCTTTCAGATTCTCTTTCAACCTGTCTGCCAGATTTTTATTCAAGCACCTAGAATTACTATTCCTACCCTCCAAATGTTTCACATTTATCTAAAATTTCTTACAGTCCTTGTTTCACTGAGCTTTAGCAGTTAGTTATTTTGAACACTCACTATCCTTAGTCTGTGTTTTCTATTTAGTTTTAGTTTTTAATGAGGTTATATTTCTAAGAACTTTGTACCAGAGCTGTATTATTTAGTTATGGAAAATTTACCCCTCTCAACTTTGTTAGACCTAATTTCCCTAATAACCTAATTTGCTAACGGTATCTGCTGAAATAATTCTTACTGCTGCAGGTGCTCAGAAAGAACAGGTGAAATGAATTAACAGGGACCCAACTTCAGACTCTGTCTACCAGCTCCTCCCCACCTGTTCCATGAAAGAGTCTCTGGGTAGGGTGATCATTGTTATTTTTCTTGGTAATACTTGGACGCCTAGAGAGAAACTTAAAAAATGATGGGTATCACTGTGCCTCAGAATCCCCAGTAGAAGGATACCCTCTGTCATTACTGTTCCCCTACAACCAGGCTAACACATAGGAACAGGAAAAGTCTTAAGCTCAGAGTTCACACCTGGTGCAATACAAAGCACCCAAAATTGTAGTATTTATGCCTCAAACTTAGCGACATAGCAATTCATTCATGTTACATGAAGTGATTTTCCAGAATCCTCCAGCTCTTTGGCAGTGCTTTGGATTTGAACCATCTTATTGTGTTGGACTAAATTTTAGACAGCTGCTATCAGACTGCTATCTGTATTTTTCCTTCTGTTCTTGATCTTGAAAATGGGGGAAATATATCTACCAGATGAATTTGTTCAAGGATGTGTGCATAGTTTATGCACAGAAGAAACAATGAAGAAATCACATTAACATGGGAGAAATGTGCCTGTGTATTTCAAAGGCTGGGAAGAACTTCATGTTTCTCTTTTTGAGCTTATTTTTAATAATTCATACATGCCCTGCTCACCAAGATTTTTCAGGAGTCTCAGAAATTTACAAACCAAGTCATAATACCCATGGGGTTAACTGTTGCCTTGTAAAGCCTTGTATTGAAATCTATGTATCATTGCATTAATGATTATTTAAAATAAACCATAAGTCATGCCAACATTGATCAATCTTAGTTCTTGCTGAAATAATTTAAATATATCTTTGAACTATCAAGTTTGAAGAAAGATTTATCTATTTTTATTTTATGTATATGAGTGTTTTGCCTGCATGTACGTATGTATGCCACATGCATGCAGTGCCTGTGGAAGCCAGAGGATGACATCACAGCCCCCAGGAAATGGAGTTACTGACAGTTGTAAGCCACCATGTGTGTGCTGAGAACAAAACCTAGGTCGTCTGCAAGAGTAGTCAGTGCTCTTAACCACTGAACTATCTCTGCAGCCTCAAATTATTATCAAGGTTTGATAAGTATCAATGAGGGTAGAAATTATTAGCTTCAAATAATCAAATATAGTAACTAGCATAAAACAAGATAGTTAATCATGTGCTGTGATCAAGAACAATTGCTTCTTTTGCCTCTATAGATCCAAAGTACTTCTAATCCTGAGACTTGATAAGATGACCATTGTCAAACTTGCATTATGAAGTTGTCCCTTTCCTTGACTTGGACTCTGTAGTCTAGGTGAGTTCCTCATCAGTGTCATAAGAAACCATGAGTGGGAAAACCCCATAGCACTTGAATATTAAATATATTCCATAAATAGCAGGAAGAACTCTTTCACCCCTCTCTGCCAAGTTCCCTGGCTTACCTTAAAGATCAGACATAAAAGGCTAGTGAGATGGTTCAGCAAGCAAAGGTGTTTGCTGTTAAGTCTGAAAGACCTGAGTTTGATCCCAGGGACCCACATGGAGGAAGGAAAGAACTGTTTCCTTCAGGTTGTCCTCTAACCTCTATATTCCTGCTGTGGTACTTGCCACCCCCCCCACACAAAATAAATAATGAAACTTAAAAAATATCAACAAGCAGGGTGTGATGTTGCATCACCTTTAATCCCAGCACTTGGGAGGCAGAGGCAGGTGGATCTCTGTGAGACTGAGGCCAGCCTAGTCTGCATAGCAAGTTCCAGGCCAGCTGTGGCTACAGGGAGACCCTCTCTCAAAATATATATATATATATATATCAACCAATGAAATCTGATTAATGGAATTTCTGAGATTCCCAAGTGGCTCATTTTTTGGATAAATATTAGAATTATCTCCTTGTCTCTCTGTCTCTGTCTTTCCCCCTCCAAAGAAAATTAATCCATATGATCTTAAGCAAGCCATAATAATTCCTTTTGTGTTGCTTGTACACATAAAGATTGCTTTATAACAGTGACATGCAAAATGATGAATTACTGCCTATTCTTATAATCTATGATTAGAAGTGGAAATACTGTTTTCTAAAACTCAGAGGATTCACTTTTATTATCTGCCAGAAGAAAAACCATCTCATAATCTGAGCACCTGCCAATAGAACTCCCAATTTGAGTTTACATGGATTTAGATCTTCTTGGTATTGGAACAGGATGGAAGCAGTAGTCATGGGTCTAGGGAGAATTAGCAAAGCCTGAACCACACACATCCTACCTGTGTCACACCTGCATGGTGATGCCCCACTCTCCACCCTCCAGCAGAGTGGTTCTCCAACTTCAGCTTGTACCAGATCACCAGGAAGCCTTCTTAAAACACAGCCTATTGAGTTGGTGAATGTTTCTTATTCTACAGAATTTGTATCAACTTCCCAGGGAACACTGGTGCCAGGGACGATGCTAAGAACCATTGCTAGAGTTTATGTTCTAGAAGAGCTTTTTCGATTTTACATTCTGTTTAGGCTTCTGTGACTTGGGAATACTATATCTACCCAGGAGTAAGTCATTTAGACTTCTTGCTATAAATATGGTGACATCTGAAGTCATTGGGGGTTCCTTATCCTAGTTCACAAAAGACTGGTTATTTCACTCCACTCATGGTCTTTGTGCTATGCTGACTTCACTTGCAACACAAAGATTCATTTTGTTCTACTTAATCATTTATAAAGTAATTTTGCAGTTTGTTAAGAATGTGCCATTCTGTGTTGACTAGATGGCTTAGTGGGTAAAGGACTTGCTGTCAAGCTTGACCCCCTAAGTTCAATCCTAGGACCCACATGGTGGAAGGAGAGAACCAACTCTTGTGAGTTGTCTTCTGACCTATATATGAATGTCATAACATACTCAGTCCCCACCCTCACCACAAATAAATGAATGTAATTTTTTAAAAAAGAATGTGCCACTCTAGTTTGGAAGTGAGCTATCAAGGCAAGAAGCTATGTGAAGGTCTCTCCTATAGACACACTAGATGGGTAAAAGGATGCTACTGTTGGATCAGGACAGGGGTTGTCTATTCTTGGAGTCAGCCCTGCCTGGGGGTGGAATTCCAACCCCAATATCTCCCAGTTATTAGAGGATCCTAGAGGAGGGAGGGAAACAGACATGATCATGATTTGCATCCTTTCTACTTCTGTCCTGTAGATGACTCCTTGACTCAGGAAAGAGAATGGCAGGAAGTAAGCTTGGTGGTAGGAAAAACAGGCACATGCTGGGAACAACTGATTGGCAAGGCTCAGCAGAACCTCAGGTTCCAGAACTCCAGTCTGCAGCTTTTCTGTATGAACTTAAAAAGCAAGGAGGGAGGGTAAGGATGAATTTTAGATTTTATTTACAGCAACAATTGAACTTCCTTATGTACATGCTAGTGCCATTTGAGACGAGATATTGTCTATAAAGTTCTGCATTACCAAGTTTTGTTTTGTACTTTTAGATGAATAATCTGTTATTCACCACCTACCTCAAAGTGATTATTGTATTAAAAACTCTTCCTCAACGTGCACTGTAACTAGAAGTGTCCAACTGCTCTCATTTTTAAGGGCAACCTTGTGCAAAAAGCTGATCCCTTTTTCCTGTACTGTGCCTGTCTGCCCAACATCAAAGTCTAAAGCTCAGTTAGTAAAAGGAAATATTTCCAAAGAGACACAAGGACCATTTGATTAATAAATATGGAAGGGGAGGAATATAAAAAGAAAAACACATTTCAAAAGATTCAACCTCAATGAAAATGGAATCATTGAACCATAGAAAAACAATGTTAAGGTTTATCAACATTAAGATTTATCAATGTTTAGATTTATCAATTTTTAGATATTTATAAGCAGAAAAAAGAGACAGTATAGTTTTTATGTCTTTTTGATTTTTAAAAAATGTGCCTTTAATCCCAGCACTTGGGAGGCAGAGGCAGGCTGATCTCTGTGAGTTCAAGGCCAGCCTGGTCTATATAGTGAGTTCAGGACAGCCGGGGCTACGGGGAGACCCTGTCTCAAAAAGAGCAAAAAAAATTCTTTTAAATTTATTATTTTATAATTTTATGTGTATGTCTGAATATATTTAAGTGCACCTGTATGATGCAATGTCTGAAGAGGTCTAAAGAGGGCATGGGATTCCTCTGGAACTGGAGTTACCAATGGTTGTTAGCTGTCCAGTGGGTGTGAGGAATCAAATCTGGGTCCTCTGCAAGAGCAGTCAGTGCTCTTGACAGCAGAGCTCTCTCTCCAGTTCCATCTTTTTGATTTCTTTGAGAAGTGACACCATATAGCCCAGGTGGCCTCAAAACTGCTATGACCTTCAGCTCACCAAACTCCTGCCTCTGTTTCCCCAGTGCTGGGGTTACAAGCATGCACCATCACACCTGGCTCAAAACTGTAATTCTTAATACGTGTTTGGCCAAATCTTTAAAAATCAGGCCATGAAACAGAAAGTAAAATCCAGCCTGCTTGCTTGCTAGCCTGCCTCAGCATCCTTCTAAGACCACAGTGGGGTCTTCATTTAGAACTGAGGAACTCTAAAGACAGACACTTCTTACCCGCATTCTCCCGTTTCTTATTGCTGGCCCATCTTCCGCCAATCTCAACACATACAAATCCATTTTATACTCTCTTCCTCCACGAATGCTGAATCCAAATCCTTTGGCTCCTTTCTCCATGTCCACAGTGAAATAGTCAAAATCCTTTGGGGTTGGGGAGAAAATGGAACATGTAATTGTTTGGTATTAGAGGTCCTTCGACAGTCAGTTTCCCTGTTCCTCTTCCCTCTGATCATTAATGTGTGCAGATGACATGATGTGAGAAGCAGCAGTCTGACTTTACAAATGTTGAAAATGCATGACATGGTTTCGAAGGTTTGAGTAGATCAGAACAGTTAACTCTGTTGTTAAAACAAACAGTATAGTTTGTATCAGTTTTCTTGATCAACATGTAATTACTGCATAAAGGCCTGAATGCCATCACTTCTGAATTTTCTCATTCACTACAATTAGTATTATGAATAGCCATATTAGTGTTGTCTCTGTGTGCACAAGCAACAGGTATCTGAATTGAAAAGTGAAATCTACTAGGGTCTGAGTGCATCTTTCAATTGCACAGACTACTGAATATTAGAACATACAAAACACAATTTCTTTTCCCTAAAATGTAGTATGTTCAAGATTTCCTGATCTTCACCATTCCTAAACTTTTTGGGAATAAAGATAATCTTCAATTTATAACTAGACACAATGCAGACAATAGAATTGAAATTGCACTTTATTTGTATCTTGGACTGTAGTTGCCAGGTTACTAGATACTAAGCTCTGGTCTAGATCCCTTTCATAAAGGTCGGCTCCTTATCTTGGACTGTAAGGAAGGCCCACCCTTTAGGAAATGGAAGCTCAAAGAGGATAAGAAGTCTTATTAGGTACACCCAATATTAACTGACAGCTTTGACTTTGATTGCCTGCACAGGGAGTTGGTAGCTCTTGCAATGGGCCCACTACTCATGGTGGTCTTGATGCATGTTTAAGATTTAAAGAAGATTTATTTAAATGGCATTATATGTGAAGCCATGCTTGGCTTTGCCCTTTGCACAGAGGCTTGGCTCTTTACCACAGAGTGGGATGCAGGGAACCATTTAAAGATCTATAGCTCTAAAATACCTCAATGGCTAGAAAAATGGCAAAATTTTCTCCATCAGCAATATTCTGAGGGAGAGCTTAAAAAAAAACAATAAAAATTGACAAAATTCAGTACTTGGAGTTAGCTGGTTATATATATCATCAGGGATTAGTTTATCCATGTCTACTTGCCCATTACTGATTGATTCACGGATAAATGAATGGATTGTTCTGCTTTATTCTGAAACAAATTTATCCAGTGCAGTTTAGAGGATCCAGGTGCTGATCTAATATCAGAACCAGGAACAGAGCCCTGGCTCTATACCCCAGAAGGGCATTCTTTTCTGTCTTCCTTCTTTTCCATTCCTTGTACAACAGGAAGTCTTGATGAGAACTCTATGATCTCTGCTCAAGGTACCTGGGGCTGCCTGTAGTCTGACAGAGGATACTGCCTGGTGTCAGGGGAGTGCTGCCTGTAGTCCAGCAAGGGAGGCTGCCTGTAGTCCAAAGGTGGGGGCTGTGGATAGTCTCCTCCTGGAGGTTGCCTGTAGTCCAGTGGGGGCTGCCTGTAGTCTGTGAACGGAGGCTGTCGGATGTCTGGTTTCACATCTTGCCTTGCTTTTACTTCTGACCTGTAACTAAATAAGTAAAAAGGGGGTTTGCTTTGGTATCTCAATACCCTAAGGAGACTTGAATGACTGATGGCCTTTAGGCATGGTCCAAGCCATTGCAGCTTGTGGGGACCCACTCCTCATGGCGGCCTTGCTGCCTGTTTAGGATTTAAAGAAGACTAAATAAATGGTATTATGTAAAAATTATTGACAAATATCAGATTGTATACTTCACTCAGTTCTTTAAAAAATCAAAGTAAAAATGATATTTTCTATGAGAACTTTGTGGAGAAGGTCACTGTACAATTAGGTACTGGAGGGATAGCTTAGTGGTTATGGGCATGTACTGCTCTTGCAGGACCCATGTTCATCTCCTAGCACCCATATTAGGTGGCTTACAATCACTTGTAACTCCAGCTCCAGGAAATCTGATGCCCTCTTCTTAACTCCGTGGGCACTGCACCCATGTGGATATACACATCCATAGGTACACATGTGCACATAATTTAAAATAAAATGTTTAGAAATAACCCCAATTGCACAATTACCCTAAATATTGGGAGTTAAAGCATCTCTCTTTCTCCCTTTCCTCCTTTGCTGTTCTCTGTCTCTATCTCTCTCTGTCTCTGTCTGTCTCTCTTACACATACACACATATACACACACATACACACACACTTCATGGTAGATAATCATTTCACCATGGAAACACAACTGAAATGATCACTAAATATTTTACAAACATGTAATTAATGGATTTTAAAATATTTATTTTAGGTGTATTTGCCTGCATGTATGTATGTGCACATTGGAGGCTAGAAGAGGGTGCTGGATCCCCTTGAAATGGAGTTCCAGAGTTGTAAGCTACCATGTGGGTGCCGGGAACTGAACCCAGGTCTTCTGCAAGAGCATCGCGTGCTTTTAACCACTGAGCCATCTCTCTGGTCCCAATTAATGGCTATTTTAACTGCTAACTTGGATCTTTTTGAGCATTTTAGATGTTAAAGAAATGATAGTAAGGCATAATTATCATCCATAAAGCAAGTGTAAGGTCACTGGATTGTAGAGAAAATTAGAAATTATATTGAACAGAGGTTTAAATACTAGAGTAGAGCTACCAGGATCAGTATTGGATACTACTGTGATCGTATGATAGAAAGGAAGACAAAACCCTAGTCCAACCTTTATTTAGTACTTATTTCTAGATATTAGTTACTAATAAAATAAACAGAAACCAGAAATAGCAGTTTAGTGATCTTTCAGGAATTTCAACTGCTTTAAGCTTGAGTGGGCTTTCATTTCACAAGTGGAGCTAACACAGCCAGTCCCTGATGGTGTGGGATCAATAATAAGGTAAACTAAAAAATCACCACCATGGTATAGAGAAACTTTAATTTTGTATTCATTATCTATCGCCTTGGTAGGGATGTAGTTAGAGTAAAACAATGTTCTATATAATAATTTCTAAGATTAATATAGCAGATATAAAGAATTAAGGAAGGGGGCTGATGAGATGGCTCAGCAATTAAGAGCACTGGCTGCTCTTGCAGAGGACCTGGGTTCAATTCACAGTACCCACATGGTGGTTAACAACCATCTGTAATTCCAGTCCCAGGGAATCTGACACCATCTTCTGACCTCTGTGGGCATTGCATGATATGGGTGCACTTACATACGTGTAGGCAGTACACTCATATAGGCAATACACTCATACATATAAAATAAAAAAAAATAAAAAAAGTTTCAAAGACTCAAGGAAATATTTGTTTTGCTTGTTTTTTTTTTTTTTTTGTGACATGATCTCACTATTGTAGCCCAGGCTAGTCTTAAACTTGTGATACTCCTTCAGCCTCCTGAGTACTGGGATTACAGGTGTGTGCTACCATGTCTAGTGAAATTAAGAAAATGTTTAGCACCAAGGAAAAGCTCAAATGTTTCAGAAAAAAAGGTTCAAAACTAGTGGAATATTATATTTAAGACTAGATGGCCTCTACTGGTTTAAGGGCTCACTGATTCTGATTAGAACTATATATTTTAAAAAAAGCCATCCACCTGCACTATTACCACTAATATAAGCCAATATTTGGGGAAGACAATAGATGTGTTTACTTGGGGTTCTTGGAAGGGGGTCTGTAAGTAGTTTTTAATAAGTGGTTTTAATCTGAACATTTGTTGTTTTACCCTGTTGAGAGGGGAGACCTTGCTTCTGTGAATTGCATAATCCAGGCTTTGCTCTATTCCTCAGTAGTCCATTCACCCACTGAGAGTGTGCGTGCTGAGAACAGAATTATTTAAAATACGATTTGAATAAGATGCTTAACTATGCAAAAACATGCATTAAACAAAAGGAATTAAACTGGGTGACATTTACCAGTGTGTGTTGGTTCCTTTCTAGAAATAGCTCACTTGGTGGTTTTGATGTCATGCTGTTTTAAGTTATGGCATGGCCACTTTATTTTTATGATTTGTGTGGTATTGGTATGAAATATCAATTATGTGCTCTGTTTCCAGCCAGATGTGCCAGGGGTACAGCAAAGGAGGATGGAGTATAAGAATCTCCCCAAAGATTAGACAAATGACTAGAAATAGGAACAGCTGAAGCTTTCAAAGCTGTCATCCAGGCCACCAAGCACTCAAACTTCCCTCCTCACCATTGTCATCTGTCAGGTTTTCAGATGCACTGCATACTGAAGAACTCTTTAACGAGGAAAATGTACTTAATTTTTTATGAACGTCGCTAAGTTTTAAGTGAATGATACACTGGCTAGAGCAAAAGTCAAGTTGCTCTGAATACGTGAAACATTTCGCTTTAAGGAAAACACTGAATTTTTTTTTCATTTTTGGTCTTTTAGAGACAGGATCTTCCTGTAGGCCCAGCTGTCCTGGAACTCACTATGTAGACCAGGCTGGCCTTGAACTCACAGAGATCCACCTGCCTCTGCCTTCCAAGTGCTGGGGACTACAAGCGTGCACCACCACGCCCGGCTAACAATGATGTTGAAAAACAGGTTCGATGCTTTCTTGGTAAGGAGGACTTGAGTTCACATCCCAAGCACCTATGTAAAAGCCAGTGTTCTTAACTGCTGAGCCATCTCTCCAACCCCCAGGAAAAAATATTTCTAAAGGCCATTGCTTCTGTGATGGGGAGAGGGAAAGTGTCCCAATTGTAAGCTAGAAACAGATGAGCCTTGGCCACTTGTTGCTCTCCCCACAGAGCTAAAACACACTCATGCTCTGCTCTTCACAGGGAAGAGAACCCTTCCTGAAGAGATGATGGCCAGGGGGCAGTGAAAGTTAACTGGCTGTGAGAGATGAGATTACCCACCCAAAGCTAGAAGCAAGACCCAAATCCACAAGAGTTATACTCTGGAAGAAAATAGAGCGCGGCTGCAAGATTAATCTACAGTGGCAAAATTAAGGACGGGAGTCCAATGTTGGCTGAGGGACTGCAGGTGCATCCAAGTTCTCCCTCCAGAGTCCACGATGGATCCTGGGGAAAGCCGGTGCTATCTGTCCAGATAACGCACAGCACAAGCAAATACAGCTGGGGCTCGTTACAGAGGCATCAGGACTTACTCTTTTTGCAGGCTGTCAAGCTCTTTCCTCTGCATCATTTGCTCAATTGGCCTTTTTCTCTTCCCTGGCATATATTAAAAACATAAGCAGCTGAGGACAACCAGACTCTCACTTTTCCATGAAAGCACATGGCAAAATCAGAGTAGAATGGGTTTTATAGAAGTAGCACCTGTGGCGTAGGGAAAATCTTTGTTCTGTAACGGTGTAAAGGATGAACTCAGAGTTTTGGGAATCAAAAACAGCATCTTACTTCATCTTGTCTAACACAGGAAGCAGCTGTTCAGAAAACACTGGAACTATGGGCAAGGAGGGGTCCGTATTCAGAGACATTCTAAGTTGTTCTGCTTTTCTCTTGTTGGAAAGCAGAAAACATACAGCAACATGTCTACCTTTTTCTTTAATGGCTCAACCCAAGCCAGATTCCATGTTATACATGAGTCAAAATGAAATGATGTCATTTTTATTTATCATTCCTGTTTTCTAGAGGCTCAAAAATCCTTAGTTCATGTTAGTTCACGAGGCCTCTCTGAGTGGGATGGAAGACCCTCATTAGATTGTGGGGGGGAGATGTAAGGTGACCATTGTGTCTAAATAGTGGAAGTGTTAACACTTATGATTGGCTAGGAACCCTTCCAGCCCTCCCACAGGCCGCACTGCCACTGTGCTCTGAGCTACCATGTTTGTGGCTCAGAGTTCTGCAGCCACCTTTTTACTCTTTAACCCCTGCCAGCCTTCAGGGTCAACTGAGAGTTTCAGAAAAGCACATCCAGTGATGTCAGTTGTCATCTTAGAACCACAATAACTTCCTTCTAAACTAGGATAGAGATGAGAACCTTTAATATGTTTACTAGAACCCTGTCACACCCTTTGACTTCATCTCAAGTCCTCCCCCTGCCATCTGCCATCATGACCTTGGCTTGCTTTCATCCTTCATGCATGGATCTCTCTCCTGCTGTAGGACCTTTGAGTGTGTTCTCACTCTGGACGTTCCATCAGGTGCTCCTGCTAGTTAATCCCGACTCATCTGCGATTGCACATCATTTCTGTAGGAAAGCTTCTCTTATTCTGAAGGACAGTCAGTGAGTTATATTCCCTAATAAGATAATGTATTCGATATACCCAATCTCAAAAATCACACAAAAGCACACATGGTAATTTTTGTTATATGAAAATCTCTCTCCCTGCCTGTGCCCTGAACATTCTCTCTCCATCTTCCTTGCCCCTCAGAATCAGAAAAGTCAGAAGAAACATTACCTATTTTCATGTCCTTGCAGCTGAAGAGGTTGAGGAGGAGCTGGCTGGGCGACGGGGCTGTTGGGGGTGGCTGGACTTGGCTGGGCTAGAGGGCTCTGCTGGGCCAAAGGACTGTGCTGCTGGGCCATGGGGCTCTGCTTCTCTGAGCTGGGTGCTGACGCTGGGCTGTTGAGCTCTGATGGGGAACCAAGGCAACAGATGTGGTCAGGTTGGTATTTGATCAGGGGCAAGAGGTGACCGGAGGTGGGGACTCATTGCCTCTTCAGATGATTTAAGGCCTTGGTCATTTCAGTTTCTGTTTGGCTTTTTGATAGTAGGTTAAACTTACCTTGGTCCAAACCATTCCTGGAGTTGAGTGTTCTTTAGTTAATTTTAACTGCTACTGAGTAAGGTTATAAATAATCTCTTGTCATTTTGTCAGAAGGAAAGATCACAGAAACAAATCAAAGCAAAAATAACCCTGCTAAAACTATGAAACAAAAGAGCAAGCATTGAAACACACTGTATTTGTCAGTATTACTTGCTGAGAGAAAATGTTCTAACCACCACATTTTAACTGTGTACGATGCTCCCCCGACCCCATTTCACTCTATAACCCAGCTGATCTTGAACTTGCTGTCCTCTTGGCTCAGTCTTCCAACAAGCTGGGATTCCAGGTGTGTGCCACCATGCCCAATTCAAGAACTCAATAGTTTTCCAAAGTGTGAATAAGGAATCAATGGTAAAATAATAAATGATGTTACAATCTGTTCTTTGGTCCCTCGTCAGTCTTACTGCCCAACAGGCCTCTGTATTTGCAGTTTCCCAGAAACAAAGAGAGCGCTGGACTCAGATTCATAAAAGTATTTTTTCAAAAAATTGCTTCTTGGTTTTTTTTCTCCCCTAAAAACATAAATTTTCAACTGAAATACTCTCCACATGTCACAGTAAGGGCAGGACACCTGAGACTGAGCGGTGAGAGACACGGCAGGTGTAAACAGTCATGCTTACAGTTTATTTCCATTGAATATTTACACAACTGATTTCTTCTAGTAACAGGTTGAAACTGTGAATGGTCATTATTTCCTGTCTGTCTGTCTGTCTGTCTGTTTTTATGATTGGGTAACAAAAGGGAGATGATCTATTCATATTTCAACATAAACCACTTCTCCTTTCTTGTCTCATAGTCCAAATATTTTAATTTCATCTCCACTTTTATTAGGGTCTCTCACTCTGGCACTCTTGACATTTTGGGTGAGATAATTTTTTGCTATGGGGTGTTGTCCTGAGCATCACAGGATATTTAGAAGCATTGCTCTGGTCTCTATTCACTAGATGATAGTCACCTCCCCAACCCAGTCACAACAGTCAAAATTGTCTCTAGATATTTTCAGATATTCCTCAAGGGTCCCAAATCACCCTACTTAGGAACTTCTGTTTTATAATTAAAGTAAGGTGGCTGACTGGTCAGCCATTTGGGACCTGTATGTCAGACAGTCTTAACATGGTGGCAAAGGGCTAAGCCAAAAGAAATATTAAGTAAGCCTATCAGCCTCTGGATGTGACACTGTGGTCACTCACCAGTGAGCTCCAGGGTCAGAACTCTTTAATTCCATTCGTGAGTCAGCAGCTACAACCCAGTAACCAACCAGCAGTGTGGAAACAGTGAAGGAATATGGAATTAGTCCTTAGAGCTATGCCCTTAAGACATGGCTGTGAGTCTGATGTTCAGTGCTCTGCAACCTCAGGGGGGAGTCCTTGTACAGAGAAATTTGAAAGGCTGAGTAGGAATTTTAAATTCTTATCAGATGCTATGTTTCCTAAATGAGCTTTCTTTAGACCACAAAACTCCTTCAGGTTTTTCAAAATCAATCTGACTTTGAAGAATCCTCTAGAGAAGAACTATTAATATGAATACTGCCCCTTTCTCTCTGTGTTCAATGAGTTCTGGCTTAATCTAACCATAAAACCAGTACACCTGAGACCCCAGGGAAGGCCTGGATAACTCCAGGTCTTGGGATTCATGCCACTGAGCCTGTAATGAGACATAGTTAATTTTTGAATGAAACTGTGGTGAGTGTGAGTTTGTGCAAAAGTGGAAATAACCATCAACCTCTGACACTCAGCACATTGATGTCAGCTGGTGGACTCCAGGACCCTGGTGGGCAGACTGAGGAGCCCTGCGTCAGTGTGTCCATGGTCTGACTGTCTCTCTGAAAGGCCACCTCAGGCACTCACCCTCCTGAGGAATGATGCGAAGGGTGACACTAAGACCTGCATCCTTGATGAGCTTCACGATGTCAGCGTGAGGCATGTTGATGATAGACTGGCCGTTCACTGCTAAGATCCGGTCTCCCACTTTTAGTTTTGCACAGCGATCTGCAGGACTCCCATCAATGATGCGTCCGATTTTATGGGGCACAGCTAAAAAAACCCCAACAGAAATAGGTATCAGGGACATTACCAATACACGTTCTATCTCTCAGTCCCAGCCCCAAGAGAAACAATGCAATGTCACAATCCCTTCCTCAGTCATTTCTATTAAGTGTGATTCTGGGTATACTACTGAGACCAAAGTTCCTCAGTTCAAGTCCTTTGCAGTGATAGGCCAATTCTAAATACAAAGAGTAGAGGTTCTCAAAGTCTGAGGTATGTTATACTCATCTGAGAAACAAATATAAGCTCCCTGGGCCTCATTCAAACATCCAGATAGGAGATAAGGACCAGTGATTTCTACATAGCCTTTTGGGAGACTATAGTACATATCAAGTGTTTGAGAACTACAGACTTAGAACAGTGTGCCCAAAAAGCCCAGACCCTAGAGACAGTGATACCGCTTTGGTACAATAAATGCCAGGAAATTAATCTATATTTCTATTTTACTGAAAGGGGAAAAAGGGAAAAATCCCCCAGATATACCCTAAACTAGATGTCAGCTGCCTGGTAACATCATGGCCTGTTTACCACTAATCTGCTCAGCTTTAGTTTAAAGCGAAACTAAAACCAACTGTTTCCCATTGTGCTTTTCCTTCCACTTTACTAAGTGGTCGTGACAACTTGCTTGTCAGCGCTAATGCCTGATATGCAATGAATTTCACCGAATCTACAATGTATTGACAGTAAGACATACCTTTAAGTATCTTGAGAAAGAAAAATTGAAATCTGTTGCTTAAACAATGATACTCCATTGGTTGTAAGATGCACTCCAACTGTTGAGATATTCAACTATTTTCAAAAGTTTTAGAATTGGTGTAACTCTTACATGATTCCACAATGACCACTTAATTTACTTTCATTGTTTATTTATGTGTGTGGGAAGAGCCAGAAGCAGGGGGTGTAGATTTTCCTAGCAGGTTGACTCATACTCTGTAAATAGTGGAGTACTTGCTAAGGTAGCAAGACTGGGGTCATATCTCAATGATACACAGTGTGCCTATGTGTCCCCTCAAGCAGGTTGCAATCTAGAAAGCTATAGATGGAATCAGGTACTGTGCAGAAACAGGGAAAGATAGCCCACTGCAGATTCTCCAAGGATGCCTACTTGAACTCTCAGTTTTGTGTATGTGTTTCAGTGAAAGGCAGACTATCAGCTAGTAACCATGACAAGGAAGGACAATTAGTGAGTTAATGAACTAGGTCCTTGCTCACTCATTTACTGTGAAAGGTTATAGATAGCATATAAAAACATTGCCCAAATTTGTGTCTCTGAAGTAAAACTCATCATGTCAGAGCCCAAACACATTTTTATTTACCATAGGCACTAATGGGTTTAATTAAGAATGCCTCACTTACAGCTTACTAATGATCATCCTAAATCGTAGAATATATTTCTCAGGTAGAAATTTAAGAAGAACAATTATTGATTTAAAAAATAAAAAAGAACTTAGGGGACCAGGAAAGCTGGTTCATCAAGTAGAGGTGCTTGCAACCAGGCCTGATGACCTGAGTTCAATCCCCAGACCTCACAGGTGGCAGGAGAGAAGGGACTCCAGAGAGAGTTGTCCTCTGACCTCCACATGTGCACGGTGGCACTCACATACCTGCACCTCTCTCTCTCTCTCTCTCTCTCTCTCTCTCTCTCTCTCTCTCACACACACACACACACATACCCCTAAAATAAATAAATAAATAAAAAAATAATGTAGGTATTTCAAGGTGTTTGATTTGCAACCAAAAGTAGGGGAAGGTTTTTTGTTTTTTGTCTCCTTTTATGTTTGATAGTGTTTTGTGATGATCCATAAATAATTTGGTTTCTTTGCCCATACATGTGTACATTGTCCCCTATCCTGTGGTCTTTGGAGTTTCCTAACTTCTCTTAGTTTGTTTTCAACTGTAAAATTGGGTTACTAATATGACTAATCTCACAGTGGTTCTGAGAGTCAGATGAACTGTCATCTGCAGGTGCCAGAAGAACAGTGCCTGGTCCTTGAGAATTGAGCTGTATTAACTGTCATTCTTTTTATTACTAATCCCATTCAAATGTTTCTTATATAACTATTGGTGTGTGTGTGTGTGTGTGTGTGTGTGTGTGTGTGTAGGTAGGTACTTGGTTTCTTTTCACCTGGGATAAACCTATACTACACTAAAACCAAAGGGACACTTTGTTTACTATACGCTCATAAAGACTACCATCCTCTAAGCATGGCATGGAAAAACAGCTTCACTATAGATGAAATACAACAGAGATGTATTTTTGGTGATAAGATAGGCACTAGACAAGGTCAAGTCTGTCTTTCCCTGATTTGCCATAAAAAGTACTGCACATTTTTGGAAAATACTAAGTTGTAACTAGGTGTTTATTATTCAAAGGGAGATCAATGTATGGTTATCTACTTTCATATTTAGTGAGGGTTATTAACAATTTCTTTTCCTCTAACTTCTTTTGAAAAAAATTATATATGTATTTATTTTTATCTTATGTGTATGAGTATTTTGCCTGCATGAATTTAAGGGCACCCATTTCATGCAATGCCCATGGAGGCCAAAAGTGGGTGTCAGATCCCTTGGAACTGATAGCTGTTAGTTGCCATGTGGGTGCAGGGAACAAAACCTGGGTCCTCTGCAGGAACAGTCAGTGTTTCTCACTGCTGAGCCATCTGTTCAGCACCCCTTTGGCCACTTTTGAGTCCTTGCTTACATGAGTTGTGCACTGTGTTAAATGATATGTAAGCTACTTGTACATATATGTATATTGAAATGCAGATAATATAATCTGTAAACATTCTGCATAGCTCATATCATTATGAGCCTGCAGTAGAAGAAATGGAAGCAGACAGTAGTTAGAAATTTGTTCAAGGTAACAAAGGGCAAACAGGACTTAGAATCCCAGTGGCTCAGATTCTAGATATCAGAGTTCTCACATTTGGTGAGCCTACCACTCTACGTCTCTTGGCTTTTCCTGATGTATCGACCCCTAACCTGTGACTTTCTTTGAGTGTGAACCTGGTGCTTTTATTTGGGACTACAGTCTGCCTCTAAGTCAAGAATCACAAACAGCTCAGGAGCAGTTCAGATCTAGGGGAAGGTGGAAGCCAGATCTTTTGATGTAGTTGTCTGTGCTTGAAGCAGATCCTTTGATGTAGTTGTCTTTTGAAAGAGGAGGCGTGAGGAGAAGAGAGGAGAGGAAAATTGGATTGTCTTCAGATTCTGTTAACTTAGGACTTCATATCACAGCACCATTTCTTTGCTTGAAGTAATTTCTTTGGGTATTAGAAACACTGACATTTGAAATAAAAAATCAAAAATATAGTTCAAAACACTGACAAATGGTATTTGGATGGTTTGCTGTTCCAACTCACACCTCTGCTCTCCTCCATTACAGCAGGTCATCTGAAGTTTACTGGGCCTAAAATTCTAAATGTTTCAAAATATAGTCTCCCTCCACAATTTTGTGTACTCTCAACAATAAAATAAACAACAATGATATCCTATTATCAATTTCCAAGCACCGTGCTGGGCATTTATTCCAAATCCTTACAGCATTGAAATCATGCACATTTTACTGTTAAGAAAACAAATCAGGTTCAATGCAGCACTGAATTCCTTCCCTGTGGCTTCATACCTTGAAGTGACTCCGGATTGATCTGTGGGAGCTGGAAGCAACTTGCATTATGAGGAGCAAGGGACTGACTCGTCTGGCTATGTGGGAGCGTACTGCCTGAGGTTTCCAGATGAATGTGTCACTGGAAACAGAATTATTGCTTAGGCTCATTCCAATGCCATTTTAATTTTCTTACAGTAGTTAAAAAAAAAAACCAAAAAGCCAAAATGAAAACAAACTCTATGCTGGCCACACGGAATGAGTGCCTTACATAAAACTGAGTGAAAACACACTTTACAATCTTGCTCAGTGATTGGAAGCACCTGACATAGCTTTGTTACAAATGTTTTCTATGGGCATTTACTTTAATAAAAACAATGCTGGAAAGGCTTGGCAGCTGAAAGTAGCCTCACTTTTTTCTTCACCAGCATTTCTCCTACATATGCAAGTACATTCAATGTTGATGTACAACAAATCTTTGACAAGGGGTGTGTTCAGGGAGGATTCTCTCTGGGAACAAGATGCAGTTCCATTTGCTCAGTGACATGAGGTCTATAGAGCTCACGACCTCAGTGCTTTCTGAGCAATGCTAATGGAATTACAGAGCAAGGAAGAGGCCCCGACCTTGGTTTCTATTATGGGGCTGAAAGGTACTCATTAATTCTCTGAGAACTGATGACTAAGGTAACTGCCAGAGCGCAGTCCATTTAGACGCATGCCTTACAGACATCATCTGTCAGGTGGTGACATGAATCGTGTCTTTGGATCAGTCTACTTGACACAGTGTGCTTAGGATACACAGATATTTGAGAAAAGTCACAGTATGTCATTTGGCTTTGGACATACTGACATTTGGGAAAGAGACAATATGTTCACTAGTTAGAAATTTTAATTGAAAATCACAAGTTATGGAGAAAGAAATCCATCTTTCCTATTTAATTATTCTTTCCTAGGTAAAACCCTACATTTCATAGTAATATATTTTAAATATTCTCATAGTGGAGTTGGCTGTTTTGACACTGTCCAGTACCACGCTTGTTTAAGGGATTTTCAGAGAAAATCTGTTGAATTGGATAGATTCTCTCTGGAGTAAGTTCTAAAGGCTTGGATTCTTGGGGTCTCTAGCTACATCACTGCAAGAAACAGCAATCTTCCTTTTCGTTTGGTTGAGTTCTTTTCTAGGATCTATGTATGGCCTCCTTAGGCTCCCACAGTCCTCCATCACAGCAGACTGATTCAGGCAATGAATCTTACTGAATTCTACCTTACATCAATCTCCACGAAGAATATAGTGTGGCCACCTGTGGGACTGTTTTTCCTTTTGTATAATTTACAAACTATTTATTCATTCATTTTTTTTTAGACAGGCCTGCTATGTTGCCCA